ATCATACAAACAGCCCCTTGTAGCCTAGCCCCTTGCCTTCCCATTGCTTGACATGCTAGGTGCACCAAACTGGAAAGATGAGACAGGGGTCCCTTGGATAGCACAATATCTGTTCCTGGGTCAGGGAGGGTCCACGTGGCACTCACTCACTCCTTATGGATGGTCATGGGACCCCCACATAGAAAACTAACTCTAGTTTTGCAGATGCTGAGGAAATTTATAGTATGGAAATTTTTTTTAGTACTGTTTTGAAAACTACTAAAATTGCGTCTTACAAACACTAAGTTGTAATTTATTATAACTATCACAATATTTTATGATGGATTATAGTATTATAATCGATTATGAAATACTGTGATTGATCACAAATTACCTCAATCAATTATAATTTAATCTTTAAAAGATGTAACTTGATTTTTATAAATTAAATTTTTTGTGATCAATCACAACATTTTATAATAGATCATAATTTTCTGAGTCATACCTTAGACGGTCAAAAACATCATAACGTGACATTTAGGCACATACATGTATAAAATAACATGTATATCAAGCCAACTGGTGGAATGCACTATAGATTAAGATGCTTTTCTTGATAATGTATGGCTAAAGAATAGGATCAAAATGTCTCACTTCACATCATGAATTATATGTCCTTTATACGACTCAATCAAAAGTTCAAGACCTCAGTTGAGTTGCTTTAATTCGGTTTTGCTTTCCTGATACCTAGGCATTGCATGTGCTGTGGACTATGAAGTGGATTTGCATGAGAAGCAGCATTTAATAAACTGTGACAACGTGGTAGAAATATTAAGAGGAGAGCTTATTGGTTTTTGAAGCTTTATCTTATAACTATTTCTCCGAATTTCCATTTTATACTTATGAGCAAGTTCGCTCATCTCCATATGCCCCCTCTCTTTTAAGTACTTAAAATAAGAAATATTTCATGACAGAGTTTACGACGATATAAATATTGTAGAATATATACCATATGAACAAATGACACATTGATGTTGGTACGTAGGATAGTTTATGACATGATTTTGAATATTGACACTCCTTGATTATATCAACAACGTAGATCGTTAGTGTTTTTAATGTTGTTTATGGGGCGATTATGTATGATGATTTCTTGGCTATGACTAATGAGGTTTGTTGGTGTAATTGTGTACATGCATTGATCATTTCTTTTGGTTTAGTTGTGCTCCATCTTAGTAGGTGGGATTAATGCGTGACGTAGATCATCATGTATGACATTCAACAATTTAAATATGACATTTTTAAGTATTTACATCTTTTAATTGTCTTATCATGAAACATTTGAAGGTTCCCAAATAAATACCTTATAAAATTAAAGCAGTGATTTGCATGTCCCCTATCTCTAAGTAGGATAAAATTATGTTGTCCATGAAAAGGTAATGATGAAGTTATTAAAGTATGTTAGTGTTATTATTATTAGTAGGGTTGTTATGACCGTTTATGTATTCACCTTATCCAGATTTTCTTTTCATGATTGTAGCTTTAATTATGGCTGCTTTTCTTCTACTGTGTCTTTAATTTGGATGATGTGGGCTCAATTTCCATGCTTTGCACAGATGGCCCACATCTTTTATAGTTAGCAAAGTAAACAATTGTAAGAAAAGAAAAAGGATAAAATACACTAACAAGCTGTAAATTTTGGTGAAATAACATGATAATCCCTTGAGATTTAAGAAATGGAATGGAGACCCATTATTTTTATTACAAGGTTGAAAATTGTTTAATATGAGTTTATCAACAAAAAAATTGGAGTGATTTGATTAGGATTTCAACTTTACTATTCTGTTGTAGAAAGAGAAAAAAATGTCTAACATTTAAAGTAAGTGAAACTATCGTTCTAGAACTTTTTAGATTTATTGAGTCTCTGTAGTGTATTCACTTATACAGTTGGAACTTGGATTGTTGATATCATCACATACGATACTTTACGACACGAATAAAGTCGTAATTCTGATTTGTGGTTCCTTTTCGCAAATGTTGTTTCATTAACCACATATAAAAGTACAGAGAAAGGATCTCTTTTTCAGTTTTTACATGGTTTGTCAAGACATATAACAGTATAGTTTAAAAGGTTCCTCCAACATTGTGGTGAAAGTACAAATAAAAATCCATCATGAATAAGTCAATGACTTTATTAACTCTTCGAACCACTGTTTCAAACCCTTATATAGTTGTACATACATTAAATAACAATAGTCCCGCCAAATTAATGATACGTGCAAAGAATACAATATTATTTATCATTATATAAAACCCATGACTATAATAGAGTATGGTCAATTTTCATTGGATAACATATTCAAGCACTAAGGATAATGTGCTCCAACGGTGTTTTCAATATACTTTGAATAGAGACAGTGAGGCAGTGAGACAGTGCACCTTATCTACCAACTAGTAGAAGAATCCACGTTTACACCCTCACACTAAACCCGTGTATTACACACTGCTATTAATTGGAGGACAAGTCAAGTCATTTCTTCTTTGTAAGAAATATATTTTCTAATAAATTGTGGACTAGAACTCACAAATAATGTGACATTCTAACAAGAATAATAACTAGATCAAAATAAATTGACAATGGACAATGCAATAATGAACCGACACTCACTTAGTTTTTTGAATAACAAAAAAAAAAAAAACCCGAAGTGAGTGTCAGTTCATTATCGCATTGTCCATTGACACTCACTTAGTTGACATAATATAAATGAGGATAAATTATATTAACACCTCTTATTATTTCTGACACTTTCACTACACTCCTTGTTGTTTATGAAATTATACTTACATCCCTTGTGATGAGATATATTGTAACTGATGCCCCCTCAAGCAATCTACTGTCACTTTGTTGATGATATAAACAAACTTTTAAACCTTCACTTCTTATTTTACCTTCAAGTTAAAAAATTGTATATTTTCACTATAAGGTTTTGGTCTTCTCAAGTTAGACAACTTTGACACATCAAATATAATCCTTTTAAAGCCTCATCTTTAACATAATGTTTGTTAATGTTAACAATTTTAGAAATGAAAAATATTTTAATATTTTTAGAAATTTAGTGTGGTATGTTGATTGATTGCGTTGATCTGAGTTCATTGTGATGGTTTCCTTTGTTTTTTAAAATTCAATGAAATTATCTGTACATTTTTTTTTGCAATCATTTTAGGTGTGATTCAATGTTTAAAGAAATTAATTCTAATGGTGGTTCCATGTTACTAAAATTCAATTTCATGTTTTGGTAGATAAGAATTTTTACTATTGTGGTATGTTTAAATCTGAAAGACTTAAAGATGATTGTAATTAATGTGTTAAAGTTGTCTAACTTCAAAGGGTAAAAACCTAATAGTAAAAATAGATATTTGTTTAACTTAAGGATAAAATAGGAAGTTAAGGTAACAAAATTTGCTTACATCATCACAGAAGTTGCTGTGTGTTGTTTGAGGGGTATCTGTTATAATATATCACATAAAAAGAGATGTTAGTGTAATTTCATAAACAACAGGGGGTGCAGTGAAAGTGTTAGAAACAACAAGGGGTCTCAGTGTAATTTATCCTATAAATTAAATATCTTTTTTTTGTTTGACTTGGTGCTGAATGAATACTTCAATAAATAGGATTCTCTTCTAGCTTCACTACATAGAAGAGAATCCTACTTATAATTTCTTACATGTTATACATGTCAATCCGAATAAAAAAGATTAATAAATAATTCAGAATAATAAATAACTCATACTTAATTACTAATCCACATATAAGTATGAGTCACTAATTGCTGCAATGATTATGTAATAAACACAAAAGCTTATTCAAAAGAGCTGTCAAAGAAATGTCATTTAGGGGTATTGACTTGGGACTCGGCATACGCAATTGTGAATCGACACAATCTCACCTTCATCCCACGCGTCCACGTGAAGGACCCTCTAACCAATCGCCAATAGCACAACTACTCGTGGTCAGCCCCATAAGCACTGATCATGCACTACAGCCAACATGGTTATGTCTATGGGTGCGCTCTAATACCATATATAATAATCATTGGAACTTACCTTAAAAAACTACCCGAAGAGATTGTAGCTACATATTTCGCTAAGATCATTGTACAAACTTTCGACGTGAGTCATAATTTTAAATTTATTAAGTAATTGTTATAAAAATTAAATTAATTATTCTATGCATATCAATTAAATTCTTGAATTATTTTTTATATTAATTTAATCACTCCACTATACAACTTCCGTCCAATTTATTTTTAATTTTAACGAAAAATCTCAAGTGATTTGCATGCAGATGGTCTTAAGATTATTTAAGATCTAAATTCTTATCTAAATTTGAATAAAAAAAAGGAAAAATTTTTAATTTAGTATAGACCTCTCCAATGACAAATCCTTTTTTTAGTGAAAGAAAAATTTAAATTTAAATGAAAACAAACTCAAATTTTAAAGAGGATAAATAAGATTATTGAATTTTTAAAGAAACCTAAAATTTTATAATTAAAGATTTAGATATGTATTTCAGTCGCCTTTAATCTGAGTAAAAATACACATGTATTTTTTTATTTAGTATGGGTAAATTTTTAGAAGTTTTTTAGCTCACATATAAATTTAAGTTTGAAAAATGATTAGGATTGGAGATGCTCTTACCTATCCCTAATCTTTTTTCCACTTGCACATGCATTCAATTGATACAAAAAATAAGAGACACAAATATTTTTTTAGAATAATATTATTTGAATTTGAAAATTTAATTTAATATGTTGATATAATGATATAATTTTATAGTAATTATTAGATCAATATTAAGTTCTAATGTTTAATAAAATTTATAATCAATCTAACAATTCCGGTGAATTAAATTATAAATTAGCTCATAAAAACATTACTCAGGTTTTCATCTTTGTGGCCCCAAAAAAAACCGAAAAATATCAAGATAAAGTACAAAATTCGAAGCGTGAAAGTGGAGACTGTGGTTAAGTCCACTTTAACAAATGGTTACCAGCCAAATATAGAATAATTGAGTTCTAACAGTCTTCTGTATGTGCCTGCCTTTTTCCCTCGTTCACCTGTGAATTCGCAAACCTTTCGCCGGCTTCTTTGGAGCTCAAAGGCAATTGGTTTGTGAGGAGTACAGTTTTGGGAAAGCTATCTAGCGCATGTGGATTGGCGTTCGTTGGCAAGTTCGAGAATTTATCCAAACCCAGTGCTTCAAAGCTTGAGAAATGAGGTTGGAAGACTCAAATTTATAGTAAGATATGTACGTTTTGGGATAGTTTTGATGGGACTAATGGGTAGTGAGACTTTTTGAGCTGATCTTGAAAGTTCTTTACTGGGTCTTGAAGTGGATTTGGTTCAAAGAGATGATTTCTTTTGTTGTGAGTTTAACTTTGAGTTAATCGATAAAAAATTGTAGGCCGGTTTTAAACTAATTAGTGAGTTGAGAAATCTTATTAAACTTTCTTTGTTCTTTTTCTGATGGTTGGAATTGAATAAAAAAGAATTGAATGTTTTACACAAAGGAGCTCAATTTTGTTGGTTTTTTTAGTAGATTACGCTTCTATTAAAGAATTGATTTTGCCTGGTTATTATTGATATTTTAGTGCTGTTGTGAACGTTAGCAAAGGCAAGATAACATTATATATATTTATATCCCCTTGAATTCAGCTGAAATCTTATTATAGCCTGGTGATTGTCAATGTATATACTACTGTCATGGATTTTACTTATTTCACTGATTAAGACAACAGTAAGAGATGATAGTATATACATATATATAGAGATGTATGTGTATATAAACATAGCGTGTATCTAAGTATAAAACCTTCAATTCCGGTGGAATGATATTGTAGTATTCGATTAAGGTTACTCTTTGATTTAATGCAATTTTGTAGGTGCATCTGTTTGTGCTTTGCTTATGATGTTTGGGATTGTGCTGTTTTGTTGGTTGGAGGTTCTTTGAGCTGCGGGTATTAGACGTATATATTAGAAGCAGGATACCAATAATGGCTCACTGTTCAAACTGGAGAAATATTTGAGCTAGCAGTTGTATCAGTTCTCCATCATGCCCCTCTCTGAGTTTTATAGAATGGGCAAATCGAAGCTTGAATCTACCCAACAGAAAACCACCAGTTCGACCGATCTGTCTTTTGTGTGAGTAAATTCTCCCTCTGTATACTATTTTATTGTCTGACCTCTTAAAGTTGTACAAAAATCTATTGATTCCTCAGTATCTCTTTTCATTTTTTGATGTATTCTTATTGTAGTATATTTATAGAAGTGTTGGTGGGTTTTGATGCAGACCTGATAATGAGTTCTGTGAGCTGGTCTGGGAAAATGGTCAGATTATGATACAAAGTCAGTCTGATAGAACCAGGAAGAGCCCTATTTTCAACAACTTCCCTTCGCACACACCCAGACTTCGAGATAAGGTTGTGTTGAATGCCACCACTTCAAAGACAGGGAAGTTTGCGCCAATGGAGTCTATCTCAAATGATATTCCAATGTTGGTACCTTCGAATGAAATGGGTTTTAGTCAAGATGATGACATGGTACCTTGGTTGAATTATCCCGTCCATGATATCCTGCAACAGGATTATTGTTCTGAACTCTTACCTGAGATATCTGGTGTCACTGGAAATGAACCCTCCACCCAAAGTAGTTTTGCATTGATTGATAAAAGAACTGGTTGTAATCAGACAGTTAGGGGTTCACAAAATCTTAATGCACATAAGGGACCAAGTTTAGAACAGGGGAATACATCAAAGTTTTCTTCTCAAAGAACTCCCCAATTATATCCGTGGTTGTCACAGGAAGGCCAAAAATTGGTTTTATCTCCTGGATCAGGAGTCTCAGATATCATCTGCAATAATAATGCCAGCACTAGCCAACAAACTGTTTGTGAGGATTCATTTCTGGGTCAAGCTTCAACAGGTGGTTTTCCCATGAAGATGCAGAAGCAAGATTCAGGATTGCCTCGTAGTTGCTCTAGTTTGTTGAACTTCTCCCATTTCTCAAGACCAGCTGCTGTTGTTAGAGCTAATCTTGAGAACGTGGCTGCTTCAGGTTCATCAGGTATAGAAATGACGGGAAATAAACGGTCTGCATCAGGTGGTGGGAGTCCTTCCAAATCCGTACATATTGATCCGAGGAGTAGTTTACAAAAAGAAATGGGCTTCCGTAGTCAACCTAATTCGGTGCTAGCCAAGGTGGATTCAAAAACAGTAGCAGCTAAGCCACCAGAGGAGTCACATCCTGTTGAACAATCTGATGGTATATGCCGAGAAGATGCCATCAAGAATGATAAGTCTGCTAATGAAGTTCTTGGTGCAAGCTTAACCAAGAGAGTGCCAGATGGTGACAAAACAGACGAGCCAGTGGTTGCTTCTTCTTCTGTATGCTCAGGCAGTAGTGCAGACAGAGCTTCTAATGATCTAGCAAACACTCACAAACGAAAATGTCGAGATACCGATGAGTCTGAGTGCCAAAGTGGAGTAAGTTAAAAATGTTGAATTACCACCATTCTCCATGTTTATTGATCTTCTATTCATTTCTTGCACCAATATGATATGCAGGATATCGAAGAAGAATCAGTGGGTGGGAAAAAGGCAGCTACAGCTCAAGGAGGTACAGGTTCCAAGAGAGGCCGAGCATCAGAAGTGCATAATTTATCTGAAAGGGTGAGTATAACCATCCGAAAAGCCATTGATGACTGCAAAGGCATGCTTTGTGTCATCTTGTTTTGAATATGTTGGTTTGCATAAATTGATAATCGTAATGTTTATAGAGGCGAAGGGATAGAATCAACGAAAAGATGCGTGCATTACAAGAACTCATACCCAACTGCAACAAGGTAAACAACTCACATAAGATTTATCTATTATTTTCTTTTCCTTTAATCTATTTTTTACTATCTATTTCAAATGATCTTTGCGACTTTGTATAATGGATCAATTACAGGAGGATTCAAGCCTTCAACTTAGGGTTAAAATTCGGTTCTATGGAAGAGAAAATAACTCATGGAAGCTTAAAACTTTATTCTCAAATTGTATATGTGAACTTTTACAACCTCATTTCCTATTGGAAGTTTGGTTGCTTGAGAATTGTAAGAGGTTCAAAAAGCTTGCAATCATGAAGAACAACCCACACATGATATTTTCTTGTTTCTGTGGTTGCTGACTTTCCCATATTCATATGATAAGGTGGACAAAGCTTCAATGCTTGATGAGGCCATTGAGTATTTGAAGACGCTTCAACTTCAAGTACAGGTGAAGTGAAGTTTCTCTGAATTACAATGACTCTTATTTATTTTGCAAAATTTGAGCAATCTGTGTAACTACCCATGGCAAATTTAACCTTTATGCAGATTATGTCAATGGGAGCTGGGTTGTATATGCCTCCAATGATGTTGCCAGTAGGAATGCAACACATACCTACTGCTCATATACCACATTACGCACCAATGGGTATTGGGATGGGAATGGGAATAGGTTTTGGGATGGGTATGGTAGACATCCATGGTGGATCACCGGGATGCCCCATGATTCCAGTGCCCCACATGCAAGGAGCACCTGTCCTTTCCCCACCTGTGTCTGGGCCCACTAGTTTTCAAGGAATAGCTAGATCTAACTTTCAGGTTTTTGGTCATCCTGGTCAAGGACTGCCCATGTCAGTGCATCCAGCTTCCTTGGTACCTCTCCCGGAACGACCTCCGATAAATGCAGCCATGGGATTGAATGCAGTGAGGATGGCTGTCAAAGTTCCAAATGTTGCTTCAACCATGAACGCGAAAGATTTGATGCAGAATGCCAACCCACAAGCGGTGCACAATGTTGATGCCAGTAGCTCAATGCACCAGCTATCTAGTCAGGTTTGTGATGTCATCGTGAGAATATTTTTAACCAAATAGTTTCAGACTTTAAGTTACATTTTCTGATGACAAAAAAGTGAAATTTGTAATATTAGAAACTCATAGAAAATGGGGTATGCATTGTGTGAAACTCAATTGTCAATTTGCAGATAGCTCTTTTAACAAGCTTAGATGTTGAAAATGCCCTTAATTATGGCCCAATTGCTCTATTTTTTCTGATTTTATTTGGATTTTTTTTTTGGAGGGAGGGAGGGAAGGAGTTGGGTGGAGGTGAAACCAACATAAATAAAAATGGGAATATATGAATAACAATAATGAAAAACTCCACAGGGTTTCTGTTGCTTGTTTCTTGCTTATTGCCTTTATAGCTTCCATGTAAATATGCCTCAACTATTCAAGTTTCATAAATGAAGAATTTGACCAAAAACAAAAAAGGTGAGGGCCAACAATAGACCTTCTGAAACAGAAGCTTGATATATCCTCTCGTAGCCTATTCACCATGGAACTGGCTCACTCTCATTTAATTCATTGTGTTGTATTGCTATTGTGTGCTTCTTGTTGAAAGAGAATATTTGAGGATGAATGTGTAGTCCCTCGTATTTGTGGAGCCGTGCTTGGTAATGAACTGTCAAGAAGCTGTTTGTATGTCACACGAGTTTCTAGTTGGTTTCTGCAATGTTTACAATGGTTATGATATTTGTGCAGGAATATGCGTTTGGGCCAATTATTCTTGGCACTCGATGTTCCTCATAATATTTGGCTTCCCTTCACATGTTTAGTTATTAACTGTCCTATTGTTTTTTACCATTTCTTTTCATCTAAGAATTAGCCTTTTGGTTTGTGTGCCCTTAGAACAAATCTTTAGTTTAATCAATTAATCTTTTTTGCCTCAGGCCCAACATCTAATAAACCAAGCAACTCTTAACTGTTTGCGGCTGTATATTACTTAGTTCTCTTAACCATGCAATGTTTCTGCTCTGTAAAATAATTTGTCTTCTATGTTTGGGTTGTTTCAATCCATAAAACTTATTTTTCTTCAGAAATGTCAGTTCCAAGCAAAAAATGGGGGTTTTGATCAGCCTTCTTTGCAAGAAAATGATCAGGCACCAGATGTCAGTGGTAGTGCAGCTGTAAACTTGGCCAATGCAATCGTACCTAGTAAAACTGCTGGTGAGTTTATGTTCGCAATGCTATACACTTGATGGGTCCTTGAAGTGAATATTTATTAGCACGTGTGTGTTTGTCTGTGGGTATTATGTTCTATCGGTGTGAAGTGTGAAAAAGCAAGAAACTAAATGCCCACTTCTATGCAGGTTGTAAATGACAGCCAAAATCAAACTTTTTGTTGAAGATCAGTGAAAAAATTTGCAGCCAATGGAAATTGAACCTTTCATTGAGTTTGTAACATGTGATTTGGTTAAGACAAATGTTTCTTAGTCTCCCACAGTGAGGTGATAATTTTGTGATATTGTCTGAATTCAGTTTTTGAACTGTACAACTAGAAACTGCACAGATTTTGGTATTCTTAAGAGACTTGGATCACCCTCCTTTTGTTCATTAACCTGCATGATTAATGCATTGGTGGCGTATGTCCGATGCCAGATCATGGAATTGAAGCTCCGAGAAAATGTATTCAAAACTCTATTCCGAACACATGTCAACAAATTTTCAAATTAATGAAATCATAATTCTCAGAGTTGATTTTCATCTGGCAGCCTGTGTGTGTGGTTGAAAAAATGTAAAACTCTATGCTGTTTGCTGGTTGAAATGGTTTCTTTTGATATTTCTGGTTGCTACAACTATGCCTATTTCCTGGCATATAATGTAATCGACCTTGATTCATGACTCGGTTATTTTCGTCTCCATCAGGATCTTCTGAAAAATTAGTGTTGGGCAGGCAACTGTTCTTCATATATCATGTTGAAAACAATTTCTTTCCCTAAATTTTTTTGCTAATGATTTAAATTGCTGTTTCTTCAGTGTATCAGCTCAAGACTTAACCACCTTTTTAGGTTCATAGATCCATGCTTCATTGCTATTTTATATTTTATAATCTCCTCTCTCTTCCAATGATTTACACTGCTCTATTATGTTCCACCAAAAAAAAAGAAAAAGAAAATACAGTTCGTTGGGTTTCTGACTCTGCTGTGCCGTTTCTTCTTTGTTTTTTTGATTCAGATATGAATAAGGAACCTTTGAAGTCACCCTATGTAAAGATGGAGCTCTTCTTTAATATGTATAATATGTATGGTAACGTATTTCATGGCACATTGCCCCACTGGGGAAGGGGATATAGAATTCATCTTGGGGGTGTTTGTTTGGTTGGATAAAGGTATACGTAAGGGTGGGATTGGGTAAATTTTTTTTTTTTTTTGGGTAAATAAATATTGTATTGATGTACTATGAAAAATTACAAGGTCAAAGCTTATATAAACAAAAGCCATCTGCACCAAAACATGGTGCTAAAGACCAAAGAAAAGCCCAAAAGAGAAAACTTAACAGAATTACTGGTTAGTTGGCCAGTGCTCCTACAGATTGATCTCATATAATGTAACAAAATACAGCAACTTTAGCATTAGCTAATCAAGCTTGCAGGAGTGGATTGGATAAAATTAACATACTGGTTCTACATATCCCTTATTTGGCAAACTTATTTAACCATGAGATAACTAATTCGGACCTATCTTAGCTCGCAATCTACAGGAGCTGATAACCCACACAGATGGGTTAATTTTAACCCACCAAATGAGTGGAATACAAAATGACTAGAAAAGCCTCTTAACAGGTTAAGTATGCAAAATGATGTGTTTGCTACTAATTATAAGCATTGCACATGTCAATTAAGGAAGTGGTGGTAAAATATTTTCAAAGCATTGTGAAATGATTACTCATTCTCAATGTGGGCCCACATAATCTGAAAGTAATAGCCAAACAAAGCAATGGAAAAAGAATGAATTGTTTCTCGCACTTATAACCGGTTTTATTGGATTGGTTTGGGTTTAAAATTTCAATCCCATCCCATCCAACTTTTTTAGTCAAACACACCCCATGGTTATACAATGATATAAGCTTAAGCATTAGGCCTGGGGCTTATGGACTGGTCTGAAAACCTGGACGAACTACCTGTTTATGGTATTTTAGTCATCTTTTAATGGCTTTTTTAATTATGTGCGAGGAATTGCCTTATTGAGTAATTAGAAGCGGGTAACTCGCCAAAATGCCTTGCTTGTAGGTTCATTTGTCATTGAGGCTCAAAATCTTCCTTGCCTGTTCCTAGTAATTATTCATGTCTTTTTTTTTTTCCCTAAGTGGTTAGGTGTTAAAAGACACAACTTACAAGCCCTGTAATAAAGCAAGGGTCTTTCAACTCATTCAAAGGATAGGAGTAGACTTGGCAGAAGAAACAGGGTCTTTTTTTTTGTGTTGAGGACAAGTTATATGGCCCATCGTCAAAGCTTTCTATTTTTATTTTGTTATTATTAATCCCTCTTATCACATGCATCAAGAAAGAAAATGAACAAGATACAGGATCGATTTATCTATGTTAGATATACTGACAATTTGCTTTTGTTGTAAAAAGAAGGGGGACATGATAAACATATGAATATATGACCCTGAATCGCCCCATCTATCCTCCTGAGGAGAAACTTGGTATCAAACCTCGAATCAAACAGGAGGAGTACACCATGTTATTGTGTCTTGGATGATTTACATCTTAGGGTTAGGTGCCGATGAACACATTAAACTATCCATATGACTGAGAGTTCTCACAGCATAGACACAATGACAATGACTAAGCATTTTTTCGATTGCAACTTGGAAATGATTGATTTCTTCAACTTCCCCTTTTTTTGGCCTCTACTGAAGATTCAAAAGGCAAGCACTCTCCTTCAAGAGGTCAGTATAAAGGTAAGTATTGTATCCCTTCCATGCATCAAAAACATTTTTGAAAAACCCATTGGATGTGGATCCCATGCATCGTGGGCCTCCCATAAGTGCTAAAGATCGATGATGTTGTCATGAGATGTGTGCGAAGTCGATAAAACTATCGATGATTGAAAGACTTGTTGAATGTAATTGCAGATCCTTTGGGAAAAACTTGGGGGTTGGCCTACTGACTTCAATGCCTTTATTGAAGTGATGAGCCTTATAGTTACAATTTTATCGTGTGGATTATTCGATGGGACTTTCAATGACAGCAAATTTACTTGGAGCAATAATCAAACCGGTAAACATCATATTTGGGTCAGACTAGATAGAATCCTTTTGAATAGGGACTGCCTGTTTTTATATAAAAGTTGTTTTGTGTCCACCAAAATGGACCATTTGTGTAGAGTATCCTCTGATCACCCTCCTCTGAAAACCTAGACCAGACCATCGTATGGATGCCTTGGACTGAGGGTAGGGATGCAAGTCTTCTTTCATGTAGAGGAAGGGTCCGATTTGGTCCCCAATGGCCCGTCAAAAGTTGAAGACAAAAAATGAAAAGATGTTCTCATTAGAATTGACTCAATGCGTAGGTCATGCATTGCATTTTTATGTGGCTTAGCCCAATGCCAAACCCTAACAAGGTATGCTTTAGGGGAGTAGCTTGGAGCACTATCATACCAATGTTTCAAGAATTGTAATTGATAGGTTTATGTAACATTATTAACTGATGTTATGTTAGAAAGGGACCTGCATATAAATGAATGCACTCCAATTCATTAGATTTCGTTTCAAATAAAAGCCTCAACATGAAAGGTAGAGTCTAGTAAAACTTGAAATAAGGAGTACACTAAGGGGACATATAGGCTACTCCCAATTTCACCTAAGTTACAATAAAAAAAAGAAGGAAAAAATTAACGATCGGCTTAAACATTTGGATCTACTTTTTTTTTTCTCAATTTCCCTTTTGGATAGTTCATCCACCATTAGTAAATGAGGGATCGAGTTGTTATATCCCTTGACTTGTAACACTTACAGTTTCTTTTTGTATGTAAACTTCTATCGCACATTGATTGAAAAAAAAAACTCTTGCACTTATATATTATTACACTGCAAGGCCCTTGTAATTGTGGGCTAGGATATAGTGATACACTCTTGTTCACGAACCCAAGAGGAGGCCCAAGGAATTTGAAAAAATTGTTTTGGAAACTAATTAGCTGGGCACATTGTGGATGACTTGTGCACAAGGTGCAAATCCCTTGATTTAGGCCATGTGGTTTTGCATGATCCAACTTGAGTTTTTCCACTTTGACCATTTATTTTTACAACATGTTTTTTCTAGTCAAATAATTAATCCCAAAATTATTTTTCTTGATTAGTGGTCGAATTAATTTGACCCACTTATTAATTGTGCTCGCAATTAACTAGTCGTGATAGCTTAATTAACTCTGCTAATTTTTCTTATTTCCATTTTTTCATGTTCTTTCTCCATGTAAATTAAGACCATTTTCCAATAAAGTTTCTCCCTTTGTAAAACCCGGGTAAATTTGAGTTTTTGTGAAAAATAGTAAAATGATAATTTGTCACTTATGTGCGGGTTGAAAACCTGTATTTTTTCTAGAGCTTGGATGACAAAACGGATCTCACCATTGAATTTGTCTCGCGAAATCTAGTTACCCAGTCAATTTTCTCGAATTATAAGACAATCGGATGTTTTGCGTTTCATGAGATGATTGGGTGCCGCGTGACCTAAAAACGAGATATGGAATAAAATTTTGAAAGTTAGAAAATAATTTAAAGGAAGTTCATATAAAAATATTTTAAACTTGAATCTGGACGAAATTTAATCGTTTCACGGACCCGAGAATGGGGGATGTGTGGCGCGATGTGGGCCAAGCGTTCCAAGGGGTATAAATAGCGGAGAAAATCAGATTTTCTCCCCAAATTTCTGCTGGGTTTCATTGGAGAGAGGAAGAGAGGGAAAAAAAAGAAAAACTCCAACTTATCTCCATGATCTACAGAGTTCCTTTGGTCGGAATCCTTCGGGCTAAATATCAAAGTTGATCTACATGACAAGGGTTACGTCTATGTACCAAAAAGGACGGATTTTACCGAAGTTTTCGAGATGAGATTTTGAGAAATCAAAGGTTTTGATCTTGAGTTGTATTCTTGAAGGTTCTACTGTTGTTTTATGCTTTAAGAGGTAGGGTTTTCTCCTAATTAAATTTATTTCCAACCTAGGGTGATTATATAGAATGGGTAGGGTGTTAAAGGTATACAACACTTACCTATTGTTCTTAATTTGATGAAACGGGTATTGAAAATAGGTGAAATCAATTCTAGCATGAATTGGTATTTAGAAATTACTAATTTGTAATTTCTTGTGAAATTGCTAATTTGTAATTTCTTGTAAAATTGTGATATGTTGGCATGCTATGTGTTTATATTATGCCTTGGAGAATTAAGTGTGTTATTTGCATGATATTATGTGGTAACATGCTTGAAAATTGTTGCTGGGTATAATATTGATATATGCTTGGTGATGTATTGACATTAATATGATTTATGGTAATTATATGCATATGATATAATTGGCCATGAAATATGTTGAAATGTGGTTGAAATTGTTCATATGACACTCATAACATATTGAACATGAAATTAGTATCGCAATTGTACATTACATTGCATATGTACGGAGAAATCGCATTCATGGGCATTAGGCATGAGTGGGGGTGTGTGCGCATGTTTGTCATCAAACATCACTCTTGGTGAATG